TAGTTTTCCTTTATTTAAATTGTACCGGCTAATCAACATCAAAAGAGTAGTTGTGAATGGAAGAAATTTTACGGTGTGCAGGGAACACGGCTTCGTACATCAAGTGTCATAAAATACAATTGGTTGGAATTTTTTTTTTCTTCAAGTTTCTAACTAATTATATTATGACATTTAGTGTAACAAGCCATGTTTCTAGCACACTGAAAAATCTCTCGTGAATTGAATAAGGAAGCATAATGGTGGTTAATAATTGTCTAATCACCGTTCTGATATATAATAATGTGCAACTAGGAGGAGCAAAAGAGGTTCATATTTAAAAGGCAAGATTTGGAAACAACTACTAGACTAATTGGCATGGTTGATGTTGAGAGAACTTGAGAGTTAGTAGCCACCAAATCTGCCTTATTAGATGGAGATTTTGACCCTTTCTGTCCGCATTACTTGACCTTGCCTCAAATGTTATCTTTGGAACATTATTATAAGCCTCCACTTGGATATTATGGACTTTTTAGGAGCATTTGCTAACTGATGGCTGTAAATTATAGTTTGACATGATTGTATGTTTCGAATGAGCTATTGTTATATATATAAACTTGACAAGATTGTACACAACATAAATTCACATGAAAAATTACGGCTTCGAGCTTGGGTGGATCCGTTCGGATTGATCCAATTGAATCTGTTAAGATAATTTTTCGGTTCATGTCAAATTGCAGGTCACTCAGTAGTTAAACTTTTAATAGTAAGAACAGTTTTCAGTAACTTTGGATGATAATTGATATGCGTGGTTGGTACTATGTAGTGTTATTTGTTTTCTTTTTCGTAAGCGTGTAGTCAAAATCATGGATTTAGAAGAGTTGTCAAACCACCCGTTAACAAACTGTTAACAAGCAGTTCGATTTTGGGTTACATTCTCCACCAGTTAGCAGAACGGTTCGTGTTGGCACCAGGCCTCACGTGAAGAAGAGGGTAAGCATGTGTTTTGGCCCAATTTGAAGCCCAAAACTCCAGACTTGTGCCAGCCCTGAGGAATGGTGGCATCTTGTTTGGCATAGTAGAGCCAATCCCAAGCATGCTTTCATTACTTGGTTGGTAATAAGGATTTATTAACTACCGCAGATTAACTACATAGAGTTTCAGAGAAACATCGAGTTGTGTTTTCAGTTACCACTCTACGGAAGAGACCATCTCTTCAAAAATTGGAGTCTTACCAGAGGGGTTTCGTGTCAGCTGCTGCAGGAGTCCTGCGGCACTAGTTCAAGTTGATATGCAAGTGGGAGAGACAGGCAGACTGAGCTTTGATTGTAATCCTCAAGTTAGTAACTTGTCAAAAACTCACAGCCTCCAATAATATCTGTCACATTGACATAAAATAAATATATCCAAAGTTTGTGTAAGGGGTTATTCGTGTTACAGTACAAGGATAAATCACAAACCCATAAAATATCAAAATATGGTATCCTCATTATCGAACACATTTTGAAAGGTTAGAAGGACAAAGAAGTTGTAAAATGTTCATCTCTCGTTGTATTATCTCAAGATCCTTGTGGCATCCTCATCAGCCATGATTCTAGCAGCAAAATCACCATACTTCTCCAAGAAGCTCTCAACTGAGCGAATATAGCTTATATGTTATACCTATAAACCCTAAAGCAGCCATATCCTGCAAGCACAATCTTTCTGCCAACCGTACTTATATCAACTTATTTCTTCTAAGGCCATCTCCAACTGAGGGTTGGCCAGAGAGCTCGTTTTAGCCCTCTGGCCCTCCAATATATTAGGCCATCTCCAACCGATGGCTGGCCAGAGGGCTCGTTTTATCCCTCTGACCTTCCAAGATTCTCCAAGATATTAATATTTTAATAAACAGTACAGGACCATATTTGCCTCCGTCTCCAACCGAGGGCCAAACATAATTTATTATTTAAATTTAAAAACTACAACAACTTAAATTCAAATCCAACAACTTAAATTAAAAAACTACAATGATAATTGGCCCAAAAAACCAAAAAAATTAGAACTTAAATTTAATGAATGGTTTAGGTATTTATAGGAAAATAAAATAAAATTTTTAAGAATTAAAAAAAAAAATTTGGCCCAAAAAACCAAAAAAAAAAAAAAAAAAAAAGAAAAAAAAAATTTGAATACAACGGCTAGCTGACTAGCCGTTGTATTCAAAATTTTTTTTAAGCAATCCTGTCGGTTATAACCGAAAGGAATACATTTAATTTTTAATATAAATATATTCCTGTCGGTTATAATCGACATGAATGCTATATTTTCTGGCCAGCCCCGGGCTGGCTGGCAAGCAACTAGCCCTCTCCGATTCCGTGGGGCTCTCTCAGATTCCACATCCTTTTGACCTATCCCTCGATTGGAGACGGTTTTCGGGCTATTTTCGACCCTCTAGACCCTTCGGTTGGAGATGACCTTAATATTTTAATGAATAGTACATGGCTATAGTTGCCCCCATCTTCAACCGAGGGCCAAATGGTCTTAAGGCCAAACATAATTTATTATTTAAATTTAAAAACTACAACAAAATAAATTTAAAAAGGGTGAAAATTAAGTGAGAAATAGTGTAGGAATGACTTAGATATTTATAGGAAAAAAAAGGGGAATTTTTTAAATTCATTAAAAAAAATTTGGCCCAAAAAAAAGAAAAAAAAAAAAAAAAAAGAATTCAATGGTAACTGGCCGTTGGATTCAAATTTTTGGCCTACTATTCGTGTCAGTTATAACCAACACTATTGCTCTTATTCTTATCGGTTATATCCGATAGTTTTAAGCAAAAATTTTGACCAGCTCGAGGCTGGCTGGAATGGGCCAACCCTTTGGCCTTTTCAGATTTTGTGGGGCCCACGAGCCCTCTGGCCTAGCCCTTGGTTGGAGACGGTTTTTGGATTATTTTCTACCCTCTAACCCTCTGGATCCTTCGGTTGGAGATGGCCTAAAGAAGATTACTTGTAGCAGGCCAATAAACAGCATGCATTTTTCGAGCCAATTCTATGGACTAGTATGAACTTCGACATGAATAATGGTAATTATTGTATCCAACAATCAGCTTAAATTACCTTAGAAGCGTTGCCAACGAGCTCGCTTTGAAGCTTTATTACTTTCTCTTCTGCATTGTACGTCCCTTTGTAAAGGAATAATATAAACGAAAGATCAAATAAAGTAATAAGTAGGAGACATGAAAATTTGTTGAAAAAATTTCATACAATTGATTTCACAGCAATACAGACAGAAGCGATACTCATCTGCATTCATTTTTTTTTATAAAAGTATACATGCCCAAAATAGGAACTACAAATTCCAAATGGGAAAATCACATCAAATTCTTTTGGAAGGTGCTCTTATAAGATTCATGTCAAAAGTTAAAACTCCTTGGTAGGTAGCAAATAGTAATAGAACTCTCAAATATAACTTATTGCTAGAAGAAACAGCAAAAATTAGAAGCTCTAAAAGGAGCGACTCCAAGCCAAAAAGACTTCACGTTTTGTGAGGGTCATGGGAGGTGAGAAAGTTTATCGTACGCAGCCCTATCTTGCTCTGCAAAGAGGTTGTTTTCACAACTCGAATCTATGACATTTTGATCACAAAGGGGAAATCTTTCTATTGTGCCAAGGTTCGCTCTTTTAGTCGCAAAGAAGGTCTAAAGAAATAAAATGAAAAAAATAAATGACCCCACTATTCTCAATACACCTTGAATATGGTCGGTTATTCATTCCAATCCAATCGTAGGAAGCCAAACTAGATCAAAAGTGCAATGTAAATGGGCATATGCATTACATGATGAAACACCATTGGCCACAACATTAGTGAATCTGTGTCATAAAAAAATTCAATCTTTATTTGAGTGGAGTTTTTTTTCTAAATACTAAAGCACATAAATTTTCAATTCCTTTCCAAAATCCCAACAGATGTGAGAAGAAAAACAAAAGGGCAATGCCAAATCAAGAATTCTCTTGTGTTTGTAAACGGGATACTTTGGATGCGGTCCTTAATCTTTAACATTGTTTGATTAAAACTTTAATAGCATTCAAAGTTTGATCAAGGTCTCTTGACTTTGTACATCTCACTATATTACTATTAATATTTATATTTTTATAGTTTTGACATTAATTGTTTGATATTTTATGAGATTTATAATCCTATAAATTTAAAATTCCTCATTATAATATTATTAGAAACGGTTACAATAAAAAAATTCAAACATTTTGATTGAATAAATGGATAAAAACTATGTAAAAATAAGAAATAATAAATGGCAAAAGAATGTATCCATAATGTTAAAAAAAATTGTTACATTTCACAAAAAAGTTGGTACATTTCCAATAAATGCTTTGTTTGGGTTCCGAATAGAAGAATCTCTCCTAACAAAATTTTCTTCTCAAAACTTATATCACACATGTCCACCAATCATTGGACCATGAGAGGCCAGCTCATCCGGTTGGAAGGCTAGAGTTAGTGGTGTCCACAGAGGAACAGAAGCCCCGCCGACCCTTATTTCACAGAGGATTAAACGGCCAACCATCCATCCCCATAGCTGTGACCGTTTCCCTCCCTCCCTGCCTCCCTCTCTTTCCTCAAGTTAAACAAAAACACAATCCCAAAATTCCCAAAGTCTTTAAGTTCTCTCACATTTATAAAATGGAAAATGGAAAATTGGATTTTCCTAATTCTAGTTTCGTTTTGTTCCACAATTTTCTCTCCCATTTTCTCTTCAGACCTTCTCCTCCTCCTGATTCCGGGCCTGTGTGGTGGTCCACCCAAGAACCAGCTCATTCCCCTTCTCAATTCCCACCAATTCCCACCATTTCCCATTCCCTTTCCAACCCATGACTCCTTCTTTCGTTTTCTCTCCATTTTTCAACAAAGATTTTGTCTTCCTTTGACAGTTGCTTGGGGAACAAACAATCCCTGCTTCAAAGGGATAAAGATTGCAGCTTTATCGGTTTTCATTGCCGCATTGAGTTTCTGGTGGGTTCTGCATTCCCTGCCCTCTTTTGTTTCGGATGGGTTTCTTTTGTTGCAGACGGGTTTCATTTTTGTTTTTGCGTTTGCATTGATTTATTTTTGCTTAGTTTTTTTGTTCTTTGATTTTTTTTTGCTTAGTTTATCTGTGTAGATATGACTAGTTCTAATTTGATTTAATTAATGCAGTTTTAATTTCTGTACATTGACTTTGGTTTATGCGTCTGTCTCCTACGTGCCCAGCACATACTGGTTTTTATCTTTGATTTTATTATGCTTTGATTTAGATATGCATACAAAGAATGTATGTTCTTTGACCATAAATAAGTAGAATATATTGTTGCTTGTAGCAGAGGATTTTTATTCTTTTAATGGTGATTGTTACCAACATGATCATAAATGAGGAGTTTAGGCTCCTTGCTCCTCCTGAGGATGTCAGTTTAAAGGGTTTTGTAATTGGATGGTTAGAGGGTTAGGTTTTGGTAGATGATGTTTTGATGAGTATAGTATACTTTTACGTGCTGAAGACTGTGGATGTTGTTGCGTGACTGTAGGTTAAATCGACATTATCTTGTGCTACAAGTAATGGTGTTTTTTTTTTTTTTTTGGTGACGATATGATCAGGAATTGCCTTTAAGGGGTGTTGTCGTTGTTACCCCAATTCATGTCTTCAAATCCATCCAATTTTTCTGACTCTTCTGAGGTAAGCGCTCCATATTGATTATGTTGATTCTTGTCATGCATTTTTGTTCTGTAAAGGAGTTAATCTAGCAATATCTACGTCTTAAAATTCTTTCTTGCTCTAATGCAGATGAGCTATAGCTTATCAGAAGAAGCACAATGTGGAACCAAGATGGAATTTCAGGTCAAGAGTGGTGCCAATTCATCAAATGATAAGGTTAACTGCCCCAAAAATGTGGATAGAATAGGAAAGTTTAATGCCAGTTCAACTAATAATCCATCAGGTGGACCTCAGAAAGTGGATCAAGCTTCCAAAGGAACAGAACTCAGTACTAAGACTACAGCTGAGACAACCACCAACAATCGTCCATTTCCAAGCCCAATGGCACCTGCAAATTCTGAACTTCTAACCACTTCAACAGGAAGGGCTACAGGAGGTATGAAAAGTAGCAATTCTGTCACCAACCTTACCCAAATGAGCGGCAGTAGCTCCCGCTCTGACAGCTTAGAGAGCTCCTCCAGTACACCCCTCAGGCCTCATACTGGTGGTGATGTGCGGTGGGATGCCATTAACATGGTCTCTAAAGGTTCCCCACTTAATCTTAGCCATTTTCGGCTTCTCAAGCGCCTAGGATATGGAGATATTGGCAGTGTCTATCTTGTTGAACTCAGAGGAACAAACACGTTTTTTGCCATGAAGGTCATGGACAAGGCATCTCTTGCTAGTAGAAACAAGCTGTTGCGAGCACAGACAGAAAGAGAGATACTTGGACTTCTTGACCACCCATTCTTGCCCACTCTCTATTCTTACTTTGAAACTGATAAGTTCTATTGCTTGGTCATGGAGTACTGTAGTGGAGGTAATCTACACTCTCTTCGGCAGAAGCAACCAAACAAGCATTTTACAGAGGAAGCTTCACGGTTAGTACCTTTCCAGTTTTTCAGATTGCATAATATTTAGTTAATTATTGATTGTGATTAACTTTTAATATGTATTTGATCTTTGATCTGTACTATTAAATTTCCTTACAAGCATGATTAATGAGGTTTGTCTTGGAAATACTAGTTTGATGCTTCAATTCACTGCTTAAGTTGCACAGTTAGAGTACCTTTCTTGCATTTTAAGGGATGTAGATGTCATGTTAAATTTTTTTTTTTAGATGCAAGAGTTATTTCATTGAAAGTTGGATACATAACGTAGATTAAGGGTCTCTTTCATTTCCGTGTTTATGGACAATGGCACGGAAAAGAATGGTTCTTGCCAGGTGCAGAAGTGCATATGTTTATATGCTGACTGATAGAATTCTTTTATCAAAGCATGATGAAAGTTTAGCTGTTTAGATTGGGCAAGATGTTTCTTACTTTTTATCCTTTGGCAGGTTTTATGCATCACAGGTTTTGTTAGCACTTGAGTATCTGCACATGCTAGGAATTGTGTACAGGGATTTAAAACCAGAAAATGTTCTAGTCAGAGACGAGGGTCATATCATGCTCTCAGACTTCGATCTCTCACTCCGTTGTTCTGTCAATCCTACACTAGTCAAGTCTTCATCTGCCCATGTAAGCAATGGTGGTGCTGCCGGTGGTGGTGGTGGTGGCGGGGGCATTTTAGACAATGACCTTGCTGTGCATGGTTGTATGCAGCCTTCCAATTTCTTTCCACGCATTTTACCTACCAAGAAAAACCGGAAATCCAAATCAGATTTTGGCCTTTCAGCTAATGGATCCCTCCCTGAACTAATGGCAGAGCCTACAAATGTGCGCTCCATGTCATTTGTTGGAACACACGAATATCTAGCCCCAGAGATTATTCGCGGAGAGGGCCATGGTAGTGCAGTGGACTGGTGGACATTTGGTATCTTCTTATACGAGCTCTTACATGGGACAACCCCCTTCAAAGGTCAAGGAAATCGTGCCACGCTCTTCAACGTTGTAGGCCAGCCTCTGAAATTCCCAGAAACACCACCAGTAAGTGTTGTGGCACGTAATCTCATACGAGGACTCTTGGTGAAAGAACCACATAAACGAATTGCGTACAAAAGGGGTGCCACAGAAATAAAGCAACACCCATTTTTTGAGGGAGTGAACTGGGCTCTGGTGAGATGTGCCACGCCTCCCCATGTTCCTGAACCGGTAGACTTTTCACAATATGCCAGCAAGGAGGCGAACTCTGCAGACAAAAAGATGACAGATGTGGGAAGTGATAAGAAGAACGGTAGTAATGATTCATCTTATGTAGATTTTGAGTACTTCTAGCACTCCTTTAGGATGATATTTTACATTCTCGGGAGGAAAACTACATTGTACAAAGAGCAAAACGTTGCAACCCAATGAGATATATACTTATCATTACATGTTGAGGGTTTCACAGAGAAAACATTTGTTAGCAGAATACTATTGATTTCTTTCTAGCCAAGGGGAAATAACAACACATATATAGGGATGGAAATTGCATCTAAAGTTTTGTGTGTCATTCTTTCGCGTGTATATGCGTCGATTTCTGTTTAAGGATTTGTCGATGTGTACTACATTGTATATGATTTGTATCTGGTCTGGTGTAACATACTGTCATATTGTTCAAAGTGGGACTAATACTTGTTCCGTTGCTTCGGAATTTCGTGCTGATTATGGAACTCCTCAGGCTGAATTGAAAAGTAGATTGTGTTAATGATACAACTCCTGGATATTGTATGTTGTCATAGTAAACTTGTTTAGAATTTGTATGGGGAGATAGTAGTACTGTCTTGTATAATATTCTCTACCCTTGACTTGTTTAGGCATCTCCTTGCACTTGGTAAAGATGCCTACTTGAGGAGGCCTTTGGGACTGCAAAATGGGCATATTCTGAAACCCAAAGTGAATATTCGAAATATAAAATACTAAAAACAAAAAAAATAAAAACACGCGAGACTCTAATACCATGAAAGTAAAGTTCCACTTTAAAATTAATTGACAATAAGAGGGTATCACAACTCCACATAAGTCGTTGCATAACTTATACACTTTCCAACATGAGACAACTATTCACATTGATGAGGTATGATGAAAAATTCTAACGACAACCAAGAGGCCACCCCGGCACAACGAGAAATACTAAGGAGACCCACCATGCATGACTAGGGACTTTCTTGATTGCTCTAGATTACATGGTACTCCAGATGTTTTAATTGTTAAATCTTTATTTAAAAGTATAAAAATCGAGATCGAATAGTTAAAACACCTGGAGTATGGTACTCTAGAGCACCCTAGAAGCTTTGTCCATGACTATACATAACACAACTCAAGGCACAAAAAGGTATACTAACTAGCTATTAATCTAGTGACAGAAAAAACCTCTCTCTCTAAAACCTTTATTTCCCTCTGCCTTCAGGAAAAAAGAAACCCTCCTAGCCGCCGCTCCTTACTCTGACTTAGGGTTGGCGGCAACCCGACTCCCACCTCTTTCTAGCCTTCCTTCCCTTTTCCTCTTCCTTCTCCACCCCTTGCAGCTTCCTTCTTTCCCCATCTTTTCTTTCCATCCATCTCTACTCTTTGCATCTTCCCTCTTCCCCCTTCTTTCCTTCATCCTTCCCTCATCCTTCCACTCAAAAAGTTTTTTTAATTTAAGCACTTTTTCTCTTTTGATCTTTGTGTTTGGCTTCCTTTGAGCTTTGTTCTTTGAACTTTGTCTCAATTCCCATGAGCTGGTCTTAGATCTGGACCTCTATGGCCCTTTCCTGCTCCGATGCTACTGTACATCGCACATCCTCAACCACCGGCCTTTACTGCTCTGCTCGTGTGCTTCTCCTCGGGTGTTGAATGGCTGTTAAAGTGCTTTTAGCACTATTTGGTAGGATTATGGGAGTGCTCATTGCGCGGGTGGCTAGCTCACCCCCATTTTCCATTGATCCAGTTGTTTCGTTGGTTCGTCCTCTTGATGGTGGTGGTGGCCTTGCGATGGAAGGGCATCTAGTGGTTGCTGGTTTCCATTTCAGTCTGAGGGTTTTTTTGTTGTTGTTCAGCTGGCCACTTTGGGCCTACACCTATCTACTGTATTTTTTTCTTATTTGTTGTTGGGCTTGTATTTAGGTAATGGGTTGCCTTCTTGTACTAGTCTTTCTAATTAATGGAAGTAATTTAGTTTGACCAAAAACAAAAAAAAAAATCTAGCTATATTAATACTTCTCTTCTTTGTGTTAAAAGACGTCTCAACTTCGAACTCCCACGATGCGTTAGCAAGAGACTGGAAAACAGGATTGAGTATAGTAGGTTTGATGAAATATGTAAAATTAGTTGGACAAAAAAAAAATATTTCAAAAGAAACGCATGTATAAATAAAAGGTTCTTTTATTAAAAAATAGATAAATAGAATAGTAAAAATGTTAGTGTTGCTCCTCGTTAATAGGAAGAGATCTTCTCCGGATCTTTCTCACCAAAACCATCAAGTCTACTTATCTGAATCCTTAAAATTTGATCTAACGGTACAAACAGAATTCTTTAAAAATTATAATAATTTTAGCTGTTTAATCAAATTTCAAAAATATAGACAAGTGGACTTGATGGTTTTGTGGGAGAGATCCGGAGAGGATCTCTTCCCCCCGTTAATCCAAATGAATGACAGTGAGTAAGCAATTCTTGACACGCTCTTCTGAGACCTCACTACTTTCAATCTGAACGAGAAATACAACGTTTTTGTCATCACGCACTCTCATTTCTAAGTTCCCATTTCAGCCTCCGACCTTTCAATTTCATTAAGTAAACAACAAATATTCACTTTTCTTCGCTGATTCTATTTTCTCTCGCCAAAGCCGAAATTTTTCGAAGCAAAAAGCACGAAACTTTGACCTGTTTTGGTGTCAGGGGAGAAATGGAGGCGTTCGATAAGATAAAGGTGACCAACCCAATTGTCGAAATGGACGGTACGATTTCTCTCCACTCCCATCTGATTCTCTGATTTCTATTTTCCGCCATTGTTTTGTTGCGAACTCTTGTTTCTCTGCTTTTTTGAATGCTTGAATTAATCTGGAAAATATGGATGGATAGACATTATACAAATGATCAAAGTGGTGTTTTTGGATGATCCCATTGATCAGAGCATGACCTTCAATCCATGTTTTAAGGACACCCCAACTATCATGCTCCATAAAAGTAGATGATCTTAGAATTACAGGATTTTGGTCAATTTGTGGGCTTTCTTGCCTTACCCACTAGTCCACTAATATGATGTTTCTGAGCTCATAGATTTAAATGATTAAACTTCTTTTTTGTTCGTTTGAGCCGAGTTGCGTGCAAATTATCTTATTAGAAGGTAAGGACATGGATGCAATGCAACATCTGAATTGAGATGTATATATCTGTGCCGGAGGCTTGGAGCTGTACTGATACTGATTTATTCAACTTTTTGTTATCTATGTTTAAGCTATGATGCATTATTTTCCGTGATGCAGGAGATGAAATGACTCGGGTGTTCTGGACATGGATAAAAGACAAGGTAATTTTGTTATCATGTGTTCCCTGTGATTTCATAGAGTTGTTGATGAATCTGCAACTTGTTTTCGTGTTCCACAGCTTATTTTTCCCTTCCTGGAGTTGGACATCAAGTACTTCGACCTTGGGATTCTTAATTGCGATGCCACCAATGATAGAGTCACAATTGAAAGTACCGAAGCTACTCTTAAGTGTGCCCTATCATTCTCCTTTCACAGTTGCTTTGCTATACTCAACTACCCTTCATGAACATTACTGTTTTTCTACCCTTCATTTCAGTTGTTGCTGCTTTCTTTTTCCTTTTTTACTGGCACGAGTTTGGCATGTTTAAATGGGCTCGACATGAGTTTGTCATATACTTTTGAACGGAATGACAAGTCAAATTGTTCGTGCTAGGCACAATTTGTCATATTCTATTGAAACAATTATCATCTTTCTTGAAACTAATTTTTTCATGAAAATTACTTTATCACCTGTTGATGCTCCTTTATTTTTGTTGTATAAATTTGCTTCCTGTTTTTGCTTGTTATCGTAGGTACAATGTAGCAATAAAGTGTGCAACTATAACTCCAGGTATTATACAGATTCTTAAATTTAGAGACAATGTGCATTTCTCCTTAATAAATGGACTACTTGGCCCTTTTTCATGGACATGATTTGGCCAACGTACTTTTGTGATGATCTGGATCATTTATTTGGATATTTATAGATGACGCTCGTGTGAAGGAGTTCAACTTGAAACAGGCGTGGAGGAGTCCAAATGGGACCATACGGAACATTTAAAATGGTCAATTGAATACTCCCTCAATATTTAGTATTTACCATTGTATATTCTTTGTTTGACCGATTGTAAGTAGCCAATGCATTTTGGTGCTCTGTCAGTACTGTTTTTAGAGAACCTATTCTGCAGAAATGTTCCCCGTCTTGTTCCAGGTTTGCTACAAGTTTGTCATCTAAATTTTCCTTTGTATCATTGTCAAAAGAACTATAAGTTAGTGGACATTTCAGGTTGGACAATGCCAATATGTATTGGGAGACATGCTTTTGGTGATCAGTACTGAGCAACTGATGCAATCATAGAAGGACCTGGAAAACTTAAATTGGGTTTTGGTAATTCTGAGTTTGACTTCTGACTGTTTAAAGTGCTTGTATAGAAGTTAATCTGGTGCGCTTTTCTTACACACACACACACACACCATATAGTTACGTTATTATCTTACCAATTGCTTTGCAGTACCTGATGGGCCTATGAACAGACAGAGTGGGAGGTTTACAAATTTACTGCTGCTGGAGGCATAGCATTGTCCATGTATAAGATGGAAGAGGTTCAAATTTTCCGTTTAAGCAGAAATAAAATGTTCTGGTAAACTGGTTACCTCTGTAAATGGTTTAACAACTATTTTTATTCTGCTTAAATTGTGAGAGCAGTCTATCTGTGCTTTTGCTGAGGCTTCCATGAACACTGCAAACCAGAAAAAGTGGCCACTTTGTCTTAGCGCTAAAAATACTATTCTGAAGAAATATGATGTTATACTGTTGTCTTTCATCTTTCACCGTGCAGTCTTTTCTTTTCATAATTACCCATGGTACATTATGAGTCAGTGTGACTATGATGTAATGTTTCACTACAGGATTTTTATTGCCATTTTCTTACCCTTGAATTTAATGAAGGTTGAAGGACAGCTTCCAGGAAGCTTATGAAGCTCATTGGAGATCAAGATATGAAGCTGCAGGGATTTGGTGAGATAACTTGTCATCCAAGCTGATTAGTTTGTGTAGGTCCGGTGATTTTCAACTAATTAGTACTCTGATTTGAAGGTATGAGCATCGTCTTATTGACAACATGGTTGCTTATGCTCTCAAAAGTGAAGGAGGTTATGTTTGGGCATGCAAAAATTATGATGGGGATGTGCAAAGTGACTTCTTAGCCCATGGTCTGTATTTACTTTTGTTAGTCTGTGAGTTAGTATTCAACTATTTCTCTTTTTAACGTGTGGTGCTGCGTTTGTTGGAAGCAAATGCTATTTCCTTGACTGTCCTAGCGAATGTGTTTGCTAATGTTTGGTTACCTTTCAATAAACTTTGATACAGGTTTTGGATCTCTGGGGCTGATGACATTTATACTGGTAATCAATTTTGTCTAATATTTCGCTATGCTTGTTGGGGTACAGTTTTGAGTTT